GCGTGGGTCTTTGGCCTGTGACGGGGATGTTGATATCCGTGGACCACCGGGGCAATCAGATCCGTTCCGAATAAATCGGACAGATTTTCATCGATCCGCGTGAGATCTAGAAACTTCTAATCCAGAAATATCGGACAGAGCTTCGTCGATCCGCGTGAGATCTAGAAGCTATAAGCGTATACCTCGGCTAAAGCGAGGTATTAGCTCTTCTTAGTATTAACGCTAAAGGCTAATACTAAGGATCAAATGAGAACGGGTGATGAAGGCTGATGTAGACCTCTCCTCCTCGGTTGAAGCGCACGACCACTCTTTGCTGCAGCAGGGCTTCGCCAAGGCTCTCCAAAAATCCAGATCATTCCAAATGAGGTAAGGGGGGTCTATTTATAGGCAAATGGGGGCTTGGGGCGTCTCCACGGATCTAGGACACCCCTGGGGTGTCTCCACAGATCTGAGACACCCTTGGGGTGTCTCCAAGAATCCGAGACACCCCTAGGGCCGAGACACCCTTGGGGTGTCTCGGCTTTTCCGAGACACCCCTGGGGTGTCTCGGATTTTCCGAGACACCCTAGGGTGTCTCGGAAATTCCAAGACACCCCTGGGGTGTCTCGGAATTTCTGAGACACCCCTGGGGGTGTTTCGGAACTCCGAGACGTCCATAGGTGTATTTGATCGTTTTCCCCGTAGATTCTTCGTCCGAACTCGGATTTGAATGATTCTGGGTGTGTTGAATGCGTGACGAAGAGCTCGATCCGCTCTGGTGGTTGGATTATCTGTAGAGCGGTCGAGGCATGGAGGGCGTTGTCCTTTTTGTGAACACCGCCGGGTTCCCGATTGGTCCGAGTCTTGGTTGTTCCGGAATCCTATAAGCTCACGTAGCTCGTCGATTCACTTCAGTCGTTCGTCGACGTCAATTGGACTCCTGTGGCTCCGGTAGTGACGTTCATCATCGTTCTTTAACACTGAACCGTTCGTGGAGACCTATAGGCAATTTTTGATGCCTACAGATACCCCCTCCAAAGTGTTCCGGACTCGTTTCTTTTATAGAAGAGGCTGGAATACTTTGGATATGATTGGTCTGGCCTTCAGTCGGCATCACGACCTGTAGTTAGCTTCAACTCTTGGCTCCTTCGATTTTCGGTCTATTCGATGCTTTGACGAATAGCCGAGGTTCTTCCGGCGCTGCGTTTATCGTCTGGCCGTCGTTGGAGTCTCGAGTTTGCAGCTGATGGATTGAGTTTGGCTCGTGTTATCGAGTTGACTTTGAATTACCTCCGCCACATTATGCTGGCTTAGGGTTTCGGTGGTGTGTTGACTTTTTGTCGCGTCGAACGTTGACTTTTGTCGCAACGCGTTGCTTGGCGTTGAGAATCGTCAAACGTTGATTGGTGTGGATTTTCATCCTCAAATGTTGACTTTTGTCGCAACGCGTTGACTGGTGTTGACCTAGGGTTACGCGTTGACCGGCGTGGACCCTTAGGGTTTTGAATCGTCAAACGTTGGCTTTGCACGCAACCCGTTGAGTGGGGTTGACCTAGGGTTACGCATTGACCGGCATGGACCCTTAGGGTTTTGAATCGTCAAACGTTGATTGGTGTGGATTTTCATCCTCGAACGTTGACTTTTATCGCAACGCGTTGACGGGCGTTGACCTAGGGTTACGCGTTGACCGGCGTTGACCCTTAGGGTTTCAAATCGTCAAACGTTGACTTTTGTCGCAACGCATTGACTGGCGTTGACCTAGGGTTACACGTTGACCGGCGTTGACCCTTAGGGTTTCGAATCGTCAAACGTTGACGGTTTCGAATCGTCGAACGTTTGACTCTGATTGCAACGCATTGACTGGCGTTGACCTAAGGTTACGCGTTGACCGGCGTTGACCCTTAGGGTTTCGAATCGTCAAACATTGACTTTTGTCGCAACGCATTGACTGGCGTTGACCTAAGGTTACGCGTTGACCGGCGTGGACCCTAGGGTTTCGAATCGTCAAACGTTGACTCTGATTGCAACGCATTGACTGGCGTTGACCTAGGGTTACGCGTTGACCGGCGTTGACCCTTAGGGTTTCGAATCGTCAAACGTTGACTTTTGTCGCAACGCATTGACTGGCGTTGACCTACGGTTACGCGTTGACCGGCGTGGACCCTAGGGTTTCGAATCGTCAAACGTTGACTCTGATTGCAACGCATTGACTGGCGTTGACCTCGGGTTACGCGTTGACCGGTGTCCACCCTAGGGTTTTGATTCGTCAAAGGTTGACTTTTGGAGTTCATCAATATTCAACCATTGGCGAAGAATCGGAGTGATTTGGGGTTCAGAAAACAATTTAGGGGTCCAAACAAGGTTCGGGGGGTCAAAACAGACTCAAGACACCCCGGGGGTGTCCCGACAAAACCGGGACACCCTGGGGTGTCTCGGCTTTGCCGAGACACCCTTGGGGTGTCTTGGGTTTTCGTGGTCCCCCCCCTTTTTGGCCTTTTCCTCTTTTGTCTTTTGCTTATGGTCCCCCCCTCTTTTAATTCAAAATTCAAAAGAGAGAACCGAATTCTTTCCCCCTCATTTTCGGTTTTGTGTGTTCTTCTTCCCCAAGTTTTTGTCCTCCATTGATTAGTTTTCAAGAACCCATCAACCCTTTAAGAGGAGTTCGGATTTTGGGGGTTTATTTGTAAAATAGGACTGAAATTCGTGGGGGCTTGTATGCAAAGATGAAACTGAAATTTTGAAGCTTGGATTCATGTCCATTTGGTTAGGAGAAGTGAGGGGGTGCTTTATGCAAGAGTTGTTGAGGGGTTAATTCGCAAAATAGCCCATAAGTGTCTTAGAGGGGTTTATTTGCAAAAGGGCAGCGAATTTATGGCCGAAATCCAAGGAGTTTAAACCACAAATTCGTGATCCAAATTTTGATAAAGGCATGTGGAGACCAAACTAGAATTTATGGAGGGGTTTTTTGATCGTCGTTAACACAGTTTATACTCGTACGTTTGCTGGAGTATACACAGTTTAAGCTCTTAAGGTATTGGAGCATAGCGGTCTCAAATGTCGGGGCCGCAGGACCAACTGTTAAAGCTGATTCATCTGCATCTGTGGGTTTTATCCTGAATTTGTTGGGTGCTCGAGCCACGAGACCAACTAGTGGAGTTGATGCGTCAATGACTCGCAGTTATAGAATTTTTGGCAAATCCTCAGCCATCAACGGATTTGACAAGCCTTTACCGACTACCGTTTGAGTCGGGCTAGCATGCGGATTGTTTAAGTCCGTTCCGCATGTGACGTTGTGCTAAGAGAGTTAACGCTCTTAGTGCTACGATATTGAATACGTAGACTTCGTCTTTCTCACGGGAATAGACTAC